TCAAATTGCACGCTCCTGTTTGTAGATAACTCGTCAGATTTATCTAGTTCGGTGTGGACTTTGTCGTATTTACTTTTGGCTAAATCCAGTTGTTCCTGTAGAAGACGATTTTGTTCCTGTAGAAGACGATTTTGTTGAAGAGTTTGTGCTCGTCGTCATACGTTTTTGCAATTACTTTTAATTGTTCTGTTTTCAAACGCAGTTCCTTGGTTAACAGAATGTTTTCCTAATCTACTTTTGTCATTAGTTTCCCGGTTCTCTCCACCTGTCTCTTCATATCAACCATTTCTTGCTTGTGCTTTAGCTGTGCACTGTGGTATTGGACCGATGCCAATCTCTGATGGCGATACATCAGGGCTAAACTGGAGAGAACCTTTACAAGGCCTGCGCCCGATGGTTGATTTTGGAGCGCGTTTGTCGCAATTTCTGCTGTTTTTCCGCAAATGGCATAGTTAGGGTTGGAATCGCTGCGGAGGTCAGCGATCAATCCTTTTATGGGTGAGGGTTCACTAATTAGCAGGGGAGTGGGGACCACCCCCTCTGATAGCTTGCACATAAAAAAATAAAAAACGTTTTTTAAATTAATTTTTTGGGTTTTGAGTTGTTGGAAGCCGCAAAAACGATTTAAATCTATTTATAGATGTTAATGAACCATCACTACTGCATCAGTAATGTGGGAGTTGGACGTGAATGAATTTCCAAAAGGAAATTGAGTTGATTAATCAATGATAATGATTAATCATACCTGTATATGCTTTCTGGGAATTAAACTTTAATTAACCTGAAAGTGTTGCTTTATCTAAGTTAATATGGAAAAGTTTAGTTTATTAAATTGAATGAGACAATGATATCCAGTCAATTGAGATTGGCTGGATTATCATAAATGTAACCAGTAGTTAAAATGTCAGGGTACGTTTACCACCAGGGTCAGTTATCCCTAAGGCTGAAGCCACTTGGGATTCCCGTGAAGGCGGGACTTCCGTTAATACTGGTTCAGTACTGTGGGGGTTGGCTCCAATGAGCTTGCAAAAGCAAATTGAATTGATTAATCAATGATAATGATTAATCATACATCTATAGGCTATCTGGGAATTAAACTTTAAATAACCTGAAAGCGTTGCTTTATCTAGGTTAATATGAAAACGTTTAAAATTGTCTCCTTTGTTGAACCAAATCAATTTGGATCTTATCCAAATGATCAACCTGAAAAGGTATATTCGGCAATTTAACTTATTAAATTGAATGAGACAATGATATCCAATCAGTTGAGATTTGCTGGATATCATAAATGTAGCGCGTAGTTACACACTATAAGAACACGTTTTGCCCTCACATAGAACAATTTGTTTTCCAAAAATGGCTTGCGATTGTTCACCACTAGGGGTCACTGATTGCAGAAAGCTGAACTCGAACGGGAGTACAGAGGGGCGGGACTTCCGTCGCCCAAGACGGGGATTTCAACGTGACACAAGAAAAACAAAATGGCTGCTCTCCCTTTGTTAGCTTAGCGTCTAGTGCACAACTAATCTTATACTTGTTTAAGCACACAACAGGATCCCATACACTACGGGAAGGGGTTTACTAGTGACGTCTCACATTCGGCATTCTCTTTGCTAGCACTACATAACCGGAACGCGCGGTAACATAAGAGATACGCCTGTGGTTTACCCACGCTACCCGAAGCGCGATAGGCAGATAGATAATAACTCTGGCCCGGTCAACGAATATATCTTATCAACAGTTTTATCATTACTGGCCCTATGTCCTCGCTCTAGAAATTAATACTGACCGAGTTAACTCGCTCCTGAGACGCGTGACAGAAATAGTACCCGTTTGGGCCAACGGGATTATAGAATACCTAAATCGGCCGGCCCAATATGTCCTGGCTGGTAGCGTTCAGTAATTCACTCTACACACTGACTTTTCGTCAGATATACAACACCGGAGGCAACCTCTAGTATCTTGTTCAAATGAAAACACACATACCTCAACAAATCCTGCCTACGGCTCTACTGGTGTATAATGTAATGTGCTGCACAATTCATATAGACTGATTTCAACAGTAAGGCCTCGTTCTATCTTAGATTCTTCGCACGGGGGCTCCAATATGTCGTATGACTGTTATTTATCGAATCCCCTAACTATGTTTAATTGTCATGTAACGATTAATTCATTAGGAATTTGGGGCACCACGGAATAAGTTGTTTAACGAGTTACCATCTCCCATGAGGGCAAGTCATGACACCTGCCTATAATGTTTTATATGTAACTGAAACCCTTGTGTTGGGGGCTTTGAAGTTTGTTCAGCCTTACATAGTTCATATCTTTGACATTGTATTTTTTATTCTCAGTCCTTTGGCTTGACTCCAGCTTTGTAAGCAGCAGCAGTTAGAGTAAAAGGTTTCATACTTTTCACATACAATGAAATAGGATGCCGAAGTCAGTAGTCAGAGATACTATTCTATGGTTTTTCTTTGTAAACTGCTTTTGCTCTGTTAAAACATGGATGATTTGTTCAAAATCTAAACAATACCCTATCACAGTTAATTAAATTGGTGTGACTGTCTGCAAATGCATTATGCAGTTACATTGTCCAGAAGCCATATCCTCTGAGAATGTATGTTGTTGAAGACGTCACCCACTCTGCCCAGGTGGTGTTTGTCAGCACATGTACAAACTTCTGGGTCTGTGGTTCAGTTGCTCTGGATGACATCAGTGTGAGCCTCGGGGACTGTGATCTTACAGCAGGTAACTTCACCCTCACTGATCACTGATGCCCACAGGATCTCTGGGAGTTATGTGTCTGTGATAGACACATTGCCCCTATAGAGTAATTTATAGGGTGTCCATCTGCAGATTTACTCCTGTCTGTCCCTGGGCACTGTAACTTTGAGATGGGTCACTGTGGGTATATTCAGGACAAGGAGGGTGATGATATAAAAATTAAAATATATACAGGTTAAAGGTAATGACTAAATGTTCCACCCTTAAATATAGTTGTGAAATGTTCTTGTTTTAAGTGATTAGTACTTTCTTAGTAGTGACTAATTATTATACTCCAAAACTGTGTGAGATGTTTTAGAATCTACTCCCTGGTAATGTGTGAGTGTAGGACCAGTAAAGATTATGACATTGTGTTACTATTTAGCAATGTGAGTAGGAGTTAGACCGGACGGCGAAGAAGGAGAACTGTTAAACATGGTGCAGAATATTGTGAGAACGGTGATAACTGAGGAATGCAGGGAGTAGGCTATGATAAGAAAGTGTGTGTGTGAACTGAGTGACTGGGTACTGGTGAGAGGGCCTACTCCCACCTCTTACACCGAGCCACCACAGGAGTCGGTGAGTATCCAATGCCCTGTAACATTCCTTAAAAAGTGTAATTGTGACATCATTGTAGTCTGTTTCCATGTTATACTGTGATAGTTGGAGTTTGACCCTGTGAAACTCTGTCAGGGTACTACATGCACATTAAGGCGTCTAACATGCTGCCTGGTCAGAATGCCCGGTTACTCTCCAGTCCTCTGAGGGGGTCCAGGGGTCCTCAGTGCCTACGTTTCTTCTACCAGATGTACGGCTCAGGCACAGGTGTGCTTAGTGTCCATTTGAGCAAGGATGGAAAGGACTGGAGAGCAGAGCATCACCTGGCTGAGAGCAACTGTGGAATACCAGAGTGACCAACAGCATCAGGCAATTGCTGAAAAACGTAACTTCCCATAATCCCTTTCCTCCTCTGTACCCCACCCCCAAATTACAAAAATATATTCAGGCAATGATTTGAAGAATTAAAGCACCCAGTCTTATTCACGTGTTCAGGCTAAATACTTTTTTTTACTGAGCATCATTTGTTGTCCTTTTTCTCCTATTGTTCTAGATTGTTTTTGAGGCCATCAGGGGTTCCTCAATAAGGAGTGATATAGCCATCGATGACATTGTGTTTGAAAGTGGACCGTGCCCAGGTATCTGTTGCCCTGTTAGCGTTATACAACCTCTACAAACATGGATTGTGTTTAATTGTTTTGCTTTGTGCAATCTTTCAACTCATGGCTCATTTTATTTTTCGTCCACAGATATTGAAGTCAAAACGACCCATTCCCCTGGAAACTCAAATGACATTGAGTGAAGGAGCAGAGGACAGGAAGAGTGCTGAATAAGATGCATGCATCAAAACTATGTTGCACATATGGACAAAAATGTACATATTTTTACATTTTATTTTCCATTGTACTGATAGCACCGAATCGTTTTGCACATATACATTTGAAACCCCACCTCTTTAAGGAATACCTGGGATAGGATAAAGTAATCCTTCTACCCCCCCCAAAAAAATAAAAAAATAAAACCATTGTAAAGTGGTTATCCCACTGGCTATAAGGTGATTGCACCAATTTGTAAGTCACTCTGGATAAGAGCGTCTGCTAAATGGCGTAAATGTAAATATAAACACAGAGGTCAAACAAAAAGAGATTCTGCATTTTCAATCAAATTATATCACTGTACACAACTATACTTGCTCTTTGTAGAGAAACTGGTACTAGTCAGTCAACATTTTCCCAGCAATAGAGGCTGTGTTGTATTCAAATGAATATGCATTAGATTAATGATGAAATAAAGAGGGATGCTTATTCAACATGCGCATCCTTGTCTTAATCTTATCAGCAATAACCAAGCCTGCTTTTGTCTTATGCCTTTGTCTTCACTTTTAGAGGTCTAGAACTATAGCTAGTATTTTATATTTGGTATTGGTGCACCTCTTACTGTATTCTGACTGCCACTCTCTGGCTGATAGATACTTAATCACCATAACGAACTGTCTTTGCTGTAGGCATGAAACAGGGCGTTACTGCCACCTAGTGGACATGAGCTGCATGTTGTTTTGTTGGTGAACAACGTTACACGTGACCCACCTTGTCCAATCATCAATCGACAATCGTCCATACTGAGCGCGCAAATTACACTGAAAGCTTGCTAGCACATCTTCGAAGTTTCAAGTCACCATCATGGCTTCTGCGGGCAAAAGAAAACGAATAAGTAACGTAACGAACACACAACCTTCAAATAATGGAGCAGGTTCGTCCTCCGGTACCGTTGGAGATGGCCAGGTGACTGGATTTGTCGAAGGATCCATACTTCGCATCACAATGCAAAACTTCCTGTAAGTCAACTCACCTGTGAACTGTTTGCAAACACGCTAGCTAGCTAACAAAAAGCTAGCTAGCTAACCATGACGACGTGATTTATCTAACGTTAGATAGTGAGTACCCTCATTCATAGACGCTGCCTAACTAATGTTACCTTTAGCGCCAATTGACGATAGTATCTTCTGGCCGCGGGAGTCGTAGAGCCCCTACGCTTGCTCTAATTAAACGCGTCGTTAACACGCATCGCTTGCGGTACGGTTTTGTAAACATCAGGGACGTATCTTTCATATTGGCGAAAAATAATTTTCCCCCAAACGGTTAAATTACTATACACCTTTAACGTTACAGGGTTAGGCTGGGTTCCGACACGGCCATATTTCCATGTTACAGCTCTTTAAAAAAAAAACGGAAAATAGGTCTGAAGATAGTTACAACCTGTTTGACTCGATAGTGTTGTCGAATTCAAATCTCTAACGTTACCATCATATCTAAACCGATATGACACCACCAATTTAGATCAATTCGCAAATCAACTTGGAGGTAGAACACTATTCCGTCAGCCGTCCGTTACTGAGAACCATATACCGGATTTTAACAGGGTCGTTAGCAATTTAATTTGAAATTGAGTATTTGTTGCGCCTACCTAGCTCAAATTCTAGACGTCTGATTAAAAGGAGACTAGAGTAGGCTGGACACATTACATTTTTAACAAGGCTTTTTTCTGATAACTAGTTCATTGCATTCGCCATGGAGCCCAGTTTCATAATGTTACCATATGTCCCAACTGCTTGCCGTAGTTTTGAAGTAATCGCGAAAAAACAGGCCTTATTAGTTCTATTGAGCACCGTATTCCCAGCAAATTGTTCTGCGTCACAATGCCAGTTTCGCTATTGTTAGCAATTAGATTTACCCGCGTAAACCTTGAAGGTTTACCTCAGGTAACTTTAAAGTGGAATTGACAGCATTTTAGCAACATGGAATCTTATTAAAATCTGTGAACATATACCCCCAGGAAGAATCTAACAATTTAGGAAAATGACCATATCTAAGCGCTCGCTTTTTAAAGTGTAATAATGTTTGGTAATGATGTATACTACGGCATTTGTGAAAATTCTATAGCAATATAGTGGGAAAGCAGCCGTGCGTTTGGCCAATTAATAGACACTGCCATAAATGAAACCTAATAAAAACATATGTATTGTCCTGGACCGGAGTTTACACAGATCAGTGCACCATAGCCAATCAGAGCTGCATTAGGCCTTTATGCAAACAAGCCATTTGCCACACAGGCCTGACATCATTCAGATTGTCGTGGACTGTGTGTTTACAGGCAGTTGCAACAGCGCAACTTTAGATCATTAGAACACATTCGCCAAAAGCCACAAAATACACCTCACTGGATTTCTGCAGATATGTCAATACCAGGGGAGTCCTCTTACATTTAGGAACTTTAGTCCTATTGATCAAACAACCATGAAAAGGTAGGCTCTCTCCCTCAGTTATGCACATCAACAAGATAAACAACTTATGCTAGCCAGAGAAAGATGAGATAATAAAATCTAACGAAGGACCATTGGATAAACCCTCTCAAACTTTTGCAGCTTGTTGGCCATCAAAATTGCACTGATAAACGATGGGGAATTCTAGCCTACTGGTCCTTCTGCAGCTTGCCTGCCAATGCATCCTTGTCCCAACCAAGCACCCAAGCTAACTGGCAAAAGTTGGCTAGCTAGCTACTTCCAGACACAAATGAGAGAACACCTCACTCTGACAATTGTACCCGCCCTAGCAGGGCTACACGTTATCTAGAGCGTTCGTGAATATTACTTTTTTTGTGCCTACGCTTACTGACCCAGTCATATTCATCTGAGTAGATGGCCAGAGTGAATTTGCGAACGCAAGAGATGCTAACTGGATAACGTTCAAGTTCTTACATTTTAGTCATTTAGCAGACGCTCTTATCCAGAGCGACTTAGTGAGTGCATACATTTTTCATACTGGCCCCCTGTGGGAATCGAACCCACAATCCTGGCGTTACAAGCGCCATGCTCTACCAACTGAGCTACAGGAGGGCTAATCAAGTAACTGTTTGTATATTGTAATTCCTTTGAGGGGCTATTGGTCACGTTAGGAGATTCAGTGGCTTATGGAGAGAGAAATGGGGCATTGGAAAACCTTCCTGGTCTTTGTGGTTGAATCTGTGTTTGAAATTCACTGCTCGACGGAGGGACCTTACAGATAAATTGTATGTTTGTGGGACAGAGATAAGGTAGTCATTCAAAAATCATGTTAAACACTATTATTGCACACACATTTATGTAACTTGTTAAGCACATTTTTATTCCTGTACTTATTTAGGCTTGCCGTAACAAAGGGGTTGAATACTTATTAACTGAAGACATTCATGCTTTTCATTTAATTAATTAAAAACAATTCCACTTTGACATTATGGGGTATTGCGTGTAGGCCAGTGACACTAAATCTCAATTTAATCCATTTTAAATTCAGGCTGTAACACAACAAAATGTGGGAAAAGGAATATGTGAATACTTTCTGAAGGCACTGTGTGTGTATACTTTTGGACATGTAGTGTATGTGGACACCTGCTTGTCGGACATTTCATTCCAAAATCATGCTATAACAGCCTCCACTCTTCTTGGAAGGCTTTCCACTAGATGTTGGAACATTGCTGCTTGGACTTGCTTCTATTCAGCCACAAGCATTAGTGAGGTCGGTCACTGATGGGTGATTAGGCCTGGCTCGCAGTCAACGTTCCAATTCATCCCAAAGGTGTTAGATAGGGTGGAGGTCAGGGCTCTGTGCAGGCCAGTCAAGGGGTGTCCACATACCTTTGGCCATGTAGTGTGTATATACCAGTAAACATTATTTTAATAGCAGGACACTGTGTAAAGTCCATTATCCCTCTGAAGAGTATGAATTAGTCTGTTTGATAAGGGTTTGAATCCTAAGCAACCTGCCTACACATAGTTAGAAGTACAATACCAACATAGCTACTGTAGTAGGTCAAAGCTGTTTGCTGGAAAATCTTGGTAGCGCATGGGTGGAATAGGCATGGTGGTGCTCGAGAATTTCATTTTTCGGCTTCAGACCAATTCCTATTCTCACTTTTTTTTTTTTTTTTTTTTTTTTTATTAGCTATGTGACTGTGTAAACGGAAGACTGACACCACAAACCTGATGTCACTGCAATTTAGGTCTGTGCTATCTGGGATCCCTGGGACGTCTATAGCACTCGAATATCCAATATACATCTTAACTTTACCTCTGTGCAGAACTACTGGATCTCTAAAGTCGGGTAAACAATAGTTTCATTTGGATGTTTTGTCTCAAATTTCGAGCAGCTGAAGGACAAATCGGTAGAGTAAGTTTGTAAATGTAATTTTATTTAACATTCAGACTTGTATGGAACATTTACACGATGTTGCAGGCATTAGTTTCAGGCTGTATAAACCAATACATTCTGTATTGCAGCCTGATTAATCAGACTAGCTAGCTAGCTGTGCGAGATGTTACTGTTTTGCAGAGACACCTGCTTGGACATGGACAACTGCGTCAAAGATTATAATTAATCTGTGACCAAGTCTTGTAACCATCTAGCTAGGTAGCTACATGTTGCTGAATTTGCATGTGTCCAACAGAAGTTGTTGTATTGTAGCCAAGGCTAGGTAATAGGGCTGTCCCCGACAAAAAATAATATATATATATATATATATATATATATATATATATATATATATATATATATATATACACTGCTCAAAAAAATAAAGGGAACACTTAAACAACACAATGTAACTCCAAGTCAATCACATTTCTGTGAAATCAAACTGTCCACTTAGGAAGCAACACTGATTGACAATAAATTTCACATGCTGTTGTGCAAATGGAATAGACAACAGGTGGAAATTATAGGCAATTAGCAAGACACCCCCAATAAAGGACTGGTTTTGCAGGTGGTGACCACAGACCACTTCTCAGTTCCTATGCTTCCTGGCTGATGTTTTGTCACTTTTGAATGCTGGCGGTGCTTTCACTCTAGTGGTAGCATGAGACGGTGTCTACAACCCACACAAGTGGCTCAGGTAGTGCAGCTCATCCAGAATGGCACATCAATGCGAGCTGTGGCAAGAAGGTTTGCTGTGTCTGTCAGCGTAGTGTCCAGAGCATGGAGGCGCTACCAGGAGACAGGCCAGTACATCAGGAGACGTGGAGGAGGCCGTAGGAGGGCAACAACCCAGCAACTGCTACCTCCGCCTTTGTGCAAGAAGGAGCAGGAGGAGCACTGCCAGAGCCCTGCAAAATGACCTCCAGCAGGCCACAAATGTGCATGTGTCTGCTCAAACGGTCAGAAACAGACTCCATGCAGGACGTTTGGCATTTGCCAGAGAACACCAAGATTGGCAAATTCGCCACTGGCGCCCTGTGCTCTTCACAGATGAAAGCAGGTTCACACTGAGCACGTGACAGTCTGGAGACGCCGTGGAGAACGTTCTGCTGCCTGCAACATCCTCCAGCATGACCGGTTTGGCGATGGGTCAGTCATGGTGTGGGGTGGCATTTCTTTGGGGGGCCGCACAGCCCTCCATGTGCTCGCCAGAGGTAGCCTGACTGCCATTAGGTACCGAGATGAGATCCTCAGACCCCTTGTGAGACCATATGCTGGTGCGGTTGGCCCTGGGTTCCTCCTAATGCAAGACAATGCTAGACCTCATGTGGCTGGAGTGTGTCAGCAGTTCCTGCAAGAGGAAGGCATTGATGCTATGGACTGGCCCGCCCGTTCCCCAGACCTGAATCCAATTGAGCACATCTGGGACATCATGTCTCGCTCCATCCACTAACGCCACGTTGCACCACAGACTGTCCAGGAGTTGGCGGATGCTTTAGTCCAGGTCTGGGAGGAGATCCCTCAGGAGACCATCCGCCACCTCATCAGGAGCATGCCCAGGCGTTGTAGGGAGATCATACAGGCACGTGGAGGCCACACACACTACTGAGCCTCATTTTGACTTGTTTTAAGGACATTACATCAAAGTTGGATCAGCCTGTAGTGTGGTTTTCCACTTTAGGTTTGAGGGTGACTCCAAATCCAGACCTCCATGGGTTGATACATTTGATTTCCATTGATACTTTTTGTGATTTTGTTGTCAGCACATTCAACTATGTAAAGAAAAAAGTATTTAATCAGATTATTTCATTCATTCAGATCTAGGATGTGTTATTTTAGTGTTCCCTTAATTTTTTTGAGCAGTGTATATAAATTGGTACCAATCAAATGTTTGGACACCTACTCATTCAAGGGTTTTTCTTTATTTTTACTATTTTCTACGTTGTAGAATAATAGTGAAGACATCAACTATGAAATAACACATATGGAATCATGTAGTAACCAAAAAAGTGTTAAACTAATCAAAATTCATTTTATATTTGAGATTCTTCAAATAGCCACCCTTTGCCTTGATGACAGCTTTGCACACGCTTGGCATTCTTTCAGCCAGCTTCACCTCAAATGCTTTTCCAACAGTCTTGAAGGAGTTCCCACATATGCTGAGCACTTGTTGGCTGCTTTTCCTTCACTCTGCTGTCCGACTCATCTCAATTGGGTTGAGGTCGGGATTGTGGAGGCCAGGTCATCTGATGCAGGACTCATTGATGCATGTCCATTGCTCGTGTTTCTTGGCCCAAGCAGGTCTCTTCTTCTTATTGGTGTCCTTTAGTATTGGTTTCTTTGCAGCAATTTGACCATGAAGGCTTGATTCACACAGTCTCATCTGAACAGTTGTCTGTTACTTGAACTCTGTGAAATATTTATTTGGGCTGCAATTTCTGAGGCTGGTAACTCTAATGAACTTATCCTCTGCAGCAGAGGTAACTCTGGGCCTTTCTTTCCTGTGGCGGTCCTCATGAGAGCCAGTTTCATCATAGTGCTTGATGGTTTTTACGACTGCACTTGAAGAAAATATTCCGGATTGACTGACCTTCATGTCTTAAAGTAATGATGGACTGTCGTTTCTCTTTGCTTATTTGAGCTGTTCTTGCCATAATAGGACTATCTTCTGTTTACCGCCCCTACCTTGTCACAACAACTGATTGTCTCAAACGCATTAAGAAGGAAAGAAATTCCACAAATTAACTTTTAAGAAGGCACACCTGTTAATTGAAATGCATTCCAGGTGACTACCTCATGAAGCTGGTTGAGAGAATGCCAAGAGTGTGCAAAGCTGTCATCAAGGCAAAGGGTGGCTATTTGAAGAATCTCATATATAAAATATATTTTGATTTGTTTAACCCTTTTTTTTTTTTTTGTGGTTACTACATGATTCCATTTGTTATTTCATAGTTTTGATGTCTTCACTATTATTCTACAATGTAGAAAATAAAGAAAAACCCTTGAATGAGTAGGTGTCAACTTTTGACTTGTACTGTATATGGATGATTTATAAAGCCAGGCACATTTTAACAGTTTGGCTAATTAATATAGACCTAATTAAGTTGGTTTCCTCTCCTCGTCGCTGCCTCCGCTGCATTGTTCTTAATCCCAATATGCTGTTAACTTTGCTATTATGTACATAGCAATATAGGGAAAGGCGCCAATTCTACAGCGACCGTATTCAACGTGGGAGAAAGCTTATTTGTTATAAAATAACATTTGATTGATTAGTGTTGCATCATTTATTTTTACGTAATATAACCATATACAATTTCAGTATCACATGTCTTAGTGATGGACTGTGCCATCCCAGTGGCCTCCTCCAATGGATTAGTCCACTGAGACAGGCGCGAATCAGCCTATCGACCAAACAATCGACCAGTCAACTAAATGGAGTCAGTCCTACTAGCTAACTGAATGTGCTAACATTGGCTACTAAAGTTGCTGCACTGAAGTTAAGCTGACATTCTCCCCTCTTTATCCCACAGAACCTACGACCACTCCATAGTTTACCCTGGACCAAACCTGAACATGATTGTGGGGGCCAATGGAACTGGCAAGTCCAGTATTGTCTGTGCCATATGTCTGGGTCTGGCAGGAAAGACTGCCATCCTGGGCAGAGGGGACAAGGTAGTTGGCTATTAATTAACAAGTGTCCTAGTGGCCTCCTGAGTGACGCAGCGGTCTAAGGCACTGCAGTGCTTGAGGCACCACTACAGATCCGGGTTTGATCCCGGGCTGTGTCGTAGCCGGCCGCGACCGGGAGACCCATGAGGCGTCGCACTATTGGCCCAGCGTCGACCGGGTTAGGGGAGGGTTTGGCCGGCCGGGATGTCCTTGTCCCATCGCGCTCTAGTGACTCCTGTGGCGGGCCGGGAGCATGCACGCTGACACGGTCGCCAGTTGTACATTGTTTCTTCCAACACATTGGTGTGGCTGGCTTCCGAGTTAAGCGAGCAGTGTGTCAAGAAGCAGTGCGGCTTGGCAGGATCGTGTTTCGGCGGACGCATGGCTCTCGACCTTCGCCTCTCCCGAGTCCATACGGGAGTTGCAGCGATGGGACAAGACTCTAACTACCAATTTGGATATCACGAAATTGGGGAGAAAAAGGGGTAAAAACATTATACAATAATAAACAAGTGTCCTAGCTAGCTACTCCTATGATATGTTGTCAAGAGCATGAAACTTTCCTTTGCATGATCTTTCATTATTGCAATAATGGCACTTGTATCTTTAGTTTGTGTTTTGTATTTTTATTGTACAGAATTTTTTTACTTTGGATATATTCTGACTAGGTTGGGCTGTACGTGAAGCGTGGGTGCAACAAAGGATCTGTTGAGATTGTACTGTAAGTTTGTTTTAGATTAATCAGAAATACCAACACTGATTCCCTAGGTCTTTGTATAATAACATTTAGGGAACCCTACCTGTGTTTTCAGGTACAAGGCCAAGGGGAACCTGGTGATCAATAGAGAGATCCATGTGGAGAATAACCAGTCGATGTGGATGCTTAATGGGAAACACTCCAGCCAGAAGACTGTGGAGGAGGAGGTGAAGGCTCTACAGATCCAAGTGAGCAACCTCTGCCAGTTCCTGCCACAGGTGAGTGGAAACTTGGAGGTTGTCTGCCATACTCATTTATTTCATTGTATTTCATTAATCCTTTCCTTTTTTCTTAATCGATCCGCTAATGTCATACTTGTACTTCAAATTCTCTGACCACTGTTTGCCCCCTGCCCTGTGACTTTGCAGGAGAAGGTGGGTGAGTTTGCCAAGATGACCAAGATTGAGCTGCTAGAGGCCACAGAGAAGTCAGTGGGACCTCCAGAGATGTACGACTTCCACTGCGAGCTCAAGACCTTCCGCACCAAGGAGAGGGAACTGGAGGTGAGCACAGTTTTAGTTCTAGCTCTGGATAAATGAAGATTCTTAGTTTTTTTTTCTTTTATAAAGAGGCTTTTGCTGCAGTGTTGATAGCTCAGGGAGAGTGAGTTCTAAGGTACACTGTTTTGTTTGGTAGAATGTGTGCAAGGAGAAGGCCAGCGCCCTGGAGAAGTTCAAGCAGAGGAATGAACGGAACAAGCACGACGTGGAGCGCTACTATGAGAAGAAGAGACACCTGGACAACATCAAGATGCTGGAGAAGAAGAAACCCTGGGTGGTGAGTTGTCATAGAGATCATGTGACACCTGGGTCATATTTATTAGTGCACACCAATGTAAACAGTTTATTCACTCTACAACAGGGGTATCAAACCCATTCCATGAAGGGCCTAGTGTCTGCAGGTTTTAGTTTTTTCCTTTCAATTAAGCCCTAGACAACCAGGTGAGGGGAGTTCCTTACTAATTAGTGTACAAGGGAGGAGCGAAAACCTGCAGACACTCGGCCCTCTGTGGAATGAGTTTAACACCTGTGCTCTACAACGTGGCGGAAACGGTTTGTTGCAAAACATTTTGCGATGGTGTGCACTAATGAATACAACCCTGTAGTCATTCATAGCTTGTTAAAAGAGCTTGGACATGGGTAGATACTCCTCCATTTAGAAACAAAATGCAGATGTCAGTGTGTTATGTGAGCATTCATATGTTAACAATCTCTTTGTCAACCCTCTGTCATCTCCAGGAGTATGAGACGGCCCGTAAGGAGCTGGAGGGGGTGAAGAAGGCGAGGGAGGACGCCAAGAAGCAGCTGAAAACCGTGAGGGAGTCCCAGGCCCCCATGCTAAAGAAGATCCAGCACATTGACAGTCAGCTGAGGCCCATCGAGAACCAGATGAAGGACAAGGTCAGAGACAGGCTCCCTGGACTTTGTAGCTTGGGGGTCGCAGGGTCGCAGCTTATGCCTTTTGAGACTGGGCCCTGGCGAACGCATGGGTTATATTTACTTGGTGGGTGATACTGCAAAGACATTTGGGAACCACTGTGTTGTGTAGCCCATAGACTGGTGGTGATGATGCATCCTTGTTGTTTTCCAGACGGTCAGCATCAGGGAGGCCTCTCAGAAGTGTAAACAGAAACAGGACCACCTAGACCGGAAGCACAGAGAGGTCTGGCACACTTTTATTTTCTATATACATTTCTGCCTTATTTTGATACTCTCTTGATACCAATGGAAAAAATAATGTTTAAAAATGAACTGAAACGTTTGATCCTCCCCTATCCCTCTAGATTGAGGACATCAAGCAGGCCTTCAGCCTGAAGCAGACGGAGGCGGCGGACCGGCAGAAGCGAATCAGCAACACCCGGCGCATGATTGATGACCTGAGGGAGGAGCTGGCCAACATAGGCGACCAATCAGACGTGACGCCGCGGATCGATGCGGTAAATGCGGAGCTGAGGCGCATCCAGGATGAGAAAGCCAAGATGGAGGGAGAAAAGGCCGACCTGCGCAGGGAGAAGGACAACTTGAACGGAGAGTGTAGACGTAAGAGACACACACACACAGGGTCTGGGGAGTCCTGGGTCTAAAACTGACTTGGCACAGTGGCTCACTGCACCATTTTAACCATGGTGAAGTGTTACACATACCATTTGACCAATCAAACAGGCAAAACGTCAATATCGAGACAAAGTGGAGTCGCAATTCAACGGCTCAGACACAAGACCTATGTGGCAGGGTCTACAGACATTCCCGGACTACAAAAGGAAAACCAGCCACGTCGCAGACACCGACGTCTTGCTGCCAGACAAGCTAAACAGGTTTTTTTGCCCGCTTTTTTGCCACCGACTCGGCCAGCTACCAAGGACTGTGGGCTCTCCTTCTCCGTGGCCGACGTGAGTAAGACATTTAAACGTGTTAACCCTCGCAAGGCTGCCGGCCCAGACGGCATTCCTAGCCGCGTCCTCAGAGCATGCGCAGACCAGCTGGCTGGTGTGTTTACCGACATATTCAATCTCTCCCTATCCCAGTCTACTGTCCCCACATGCTTCAAGATGGCCACCATTGTTCCTGTACCCAAGAATGCAAAGGTAACTGAACTAAATGACTATCGCCCCGTAGCACTCACTTCTGTCATCATGAAGTGCTTTGAGAGACTAGTCAATGATCATATCACCTCCACCTTACCTGTCACCCTAGACCCACTTCAATTTGCATACCGCCCCAATAGGTCCACAGACGATGCAATCGCCATCACACTGCCCTATCCCATCTGGACAAGAGGAATACCTATGTAAGAATGCTGTTCATTGACTATAGCTCAGCATTCAACACCATAGTACCCTCCAAGCTCATCAAGCTTGAGGCCCTCGATCTCAACCCCGCCCTGTGCAATTGGGTCCTGGACTTCCTGACGGGCTGCCCCCAGGTGGTGAAGGTAGGAAACAACATCTCCACTTCGCTGATCCTCAACACTGGGGCCCCACAAGGGTGCGTGCTCAGCCCCCTCCTGTACTCCCTGTTCACCCATGACTGTGTAGCCATGCACGCCTCCAACTCAATCATCAAGTATGCAGACGACACAACAGTAGCCTAATTACCAACAACGATGAGACAGCCTACAGGGAGGAGGTGAGGGCTCTCGGAGTGTGGTGTCAGGAAAAGAACCTCTTACTCAACATAAAAAAAACAAAGGAGGGGTGCTTGACAAAAAACTAAGGAGATGATTGTGGACTTCAGGAAACAGCAGAGGGAGTACCCCCCCCTATCCACATCGACGGGACAGCAGTGGAGAAGGTGGAAAGTTTAAGTTCCTCTGCGTACATATCACTGACAAACTGAAATGGTCCACCCACACAGACAGTGTGGTGAAGAATGCGCAACAGCGTCTCTTCAACCTCAGGAGGCTGAAGAAATTTGGCCTGTTACCTAAAACCCTCACAAACTTTTACAGATGCACAATTGAGAGCATCCTGTCGGGCTGTATCACCGGCTGGTATGGCAACTGCACTGCCCACAACCGCAGGGCTCTCCAGAGGGTGGTGCGGTCTGCACAACAAATCACCAGGGGCAATCTACCTGCCCTCTAGGACACCTACAGCACCCGATGTCACAGGAAAGCCAAAAGGAGAATCAAGGACAACTATCACCCGAGCCACTGCCTGTTCACCTCGCTACCATCCAGAAGGCAAGGACAGTACAGGTGCATCAAAGCTGGGACCGAGAGACTGGAAAAACAGCTTCTATCTCAAGGCCATCAGACTGTTAAACAGCCATCACTAGCACAGAGAGGCTGCTGCCTACATACAGACTTGAAAATCACTGGCCGCTTTAATAATGCCACTTTAATGTTTACATATCTTGCATTACCCATCTCATATGTGTATATACTGTATTCTATACTATCTATTGCATCTTAGACTACGCCACTGATAATGACATTGCTCATCCATATATTTATATATTCTTGTTCCGTTCCTTTACTTAGATTTGTGTGTATTTGTTGTGAAACTGTTAGATAATGTTGCACTGTCAGAACTAGAAGCACACACATTTCGCTACACTCGCAATAACATCTGCTAACCATGTATATGTGACCACTCTGCTTGTTTCCTGTAGTGTTGAAGAACAGGCTGAGGAGTCTGGATGACATGATGAAAATCAAGGAGGAGAAGCTGAGAGGGCGCTCCAAGGACACCTACGCTGCTGTCCAGTGGCTAAGGCAGAACAAACACATCTTCAGTGGCAACGTCTATGAACCTATGATGCTAGTGGTGAGGGCACACTATAAGGATTAGTAGTCAAGGCCTATATGGACCTAGCCCTGTCCATATGCTTTGAAGTGTCATTGTCAAGCACCCCTCCTACTTTTCTTTGTTTGCTGTAGCGTGGAGACCTACTTGAACATTGGAAGTGTTCTTTAATATGTTCACAACTATAGTTTCATTCTACACCCCAATATCCTAAAATGGGCCACAATAGAGTACCACAATATGAGTCATAATACCCATAAAACCTAGTAGTCAAACAAGGAAATGGTTTCAATCGTTTTTTCAACCATTCATTTTTCCCATAGGGGATTTTAGAAACACTTAAAATAAGGGCTGTGTTTCTTGTATGCTTACCCTGGTGTGATGTTTTGATAACTGTGTAAATCTCTGTAGGACAAGGTGACTTTTATCAATATATTTGCCTGTATTTACCACCCCCCAAAAATGAAATGCTAATGTGGATATCATAAAGAACTACAAATACCATGATGAGCTGGACAAGACTGCCAAATCGAGGCAACGATAAGAATCTCTGGATTAAGTATCTGTTAGCTAAATGTAGTAATTAATAAACTTGCTAAATTTCGTTCAATTGACTATTCTGAAGTGTCTTGTGCAAGTTTTTTTAAATTGACACTACCTGTTAGCAAAGGTGTCAGCTAGAGATGATGTGCAAGAGCTTGCAGGGGTTTGTAGTCTTGCGTGATGTCTACTTTGATGCTAATTAGCATTTTCGAATCAGAATAAATAGAGCCTTGTCCGAGAGATTTACATGGTCATCAAAACATCACGCCAGGGTAAGCCTGCACGAAGCACAGCCCTTATTTGAAGTGTTCCTAAAATTCCCTACGTGAGAAATGTATGGTGGGAAAACGATTGGAACCATTTCCCCATTTGACCGCAAGGTTTTAAGGGTATTATGACACCTCCACTGTGGTGCTATATTCCTTTCCCTCTTTTTTTTTTTTTTTTTTTTTTTTTTTTTTTTCATTTAAATGAAAAGACTACTTGGTTCAAAGAACAGTATGTATGGCTGATATATAAACATAATTTGAAAGCCCATATGTAGCCTTTCTTTGAAACATTCTGCTCTTTCAGATTAGTGTCCGCAACCCTGACCATGCCAAGTACGTCGAGAACCACATTCCATTCAACGACCTGCGAGCCTTCGTCTTCCAGAAGAGGGAGGACATGGAGAAGTTTATGATGGAGGTGAGGAGGACCTGCAGATAAAGAATGGAAAAAGAAATTCAACTGCCAATACAACAATGTCAGAATGCTCTGTATGCAATGAAATAGGACCCTGAGTTTTTACTATGTGACCCACCTAACCGGGCCCTAGTTATAGGCTCTAATTAAGGTAATAAGTGCATGAGTAAGTTCTGATGATGGATTTGTCCTCAGGTGCGTGACAGCCAGAACCTGAGGGTGAATTCAGTCTTTGCTCCTGAGGAATCCTGCGCCACCCGCGCCCCCTCCAGACCCATAGAGTCCCTGAAGTGAGTAGTCCTCTCATACTGTCCCAAGATGGATTGTAAATGTATCAACCCTACACCTAACCCTTTCAGCTGTAATGAATGTGTAAGATGCATTTTTGTCTTCTTTTCCTGTCTGTAGGCGTTTTGGGTTCTTTGCGTACCTGCGGGAGCTCTTCGACGCTCCAGAAGAGGTTATGAGCTACCTCTGCAACCAGTACAAGGTGCACGATGTTCCTGTGGGAACAGACCAAACCAAAACCATGATCAAGACGGTATGTTCCATACTCTAGAGTGTCTGGGAGGATGCCAAGTCATGTCAACAAATTACTTCACTTTCATAGCTTATTTGATTTCTGAACAGACTGGAATCGAAAGTAAGCTGATCCAAACTCTAGTCCTTCGACCATTTGTCTCTCTCAGGTGATTGAGGAGCCCTACCTGAAGGTGCTCTACACAGCTGAGGAGAAGTACTCCCTGAAGAAGTCCTTTTACTCGGGCAAGACCAGCACCAGTAACTCTGCCGTGCGTCCCTCCCAGTACCTCACCATGGCTGTGGACGCCGAGGAGAAACGCCAGCTGGAGGAGCAGATCAGGGTGAGGCCAGGGACACCTGTCAATCATTCACCACAGGCCCCTCCCCCACGGGGAGAAAAAAGTTGCCAATAACAAATGAATTTGAAGCGACACATTTACACTAGCAGTAAACTACACTTGGCGTTTTACACCGGAGAGGAACTTTCCAAGAGTTTTACTTAACACCTTAGATATGACATAGTAATACACATTTAGATCAGACACTCATACACACAATGATGTAAGTTGACATGCATAACCTGCAGTAATGTTGTAGTAATAACCAGATGTTTAGCAAAGCACTGATATAGCACTACAGCTTGAAAATTAAGTGTGACCTTTGGCTATGCCTAGACGGCTGAAAAGAGCAAGCAGGCCATCGATGTCCAGATGAGCACCATGCAGGAACGTACTGCCAAGCTGGATCGCCGTGACAATGAGCTACGGGCCCAGAAGAAGGTGCTCTCAGAGATGAAGGGCAAAAAGAGACAGTTGGAACAGAAGATCAGTACCAAGCAGGACAGGTGGGTGGCACACACACAGGCCTTGTCCAAATACCCATACCATACCTAAATAGGTTGTTTGAGTATGCGAAAAAATAATGTTTAATATACTAAATAAATTGGGCCCTAATCTATGGATTTCACATGACTGGGCAGGTGCGCAGCCATGGGTGGGCCTGGGAGGGCATAGGCCCTCCCACTTGGGAGCCAGGCCCAGCCAATCAGGATGAGTTTTTTCCCCCAAAAAGGGCTTTACTACAGACAAATACTCCCAGTTTCATCAGCTGTCCGGTTGGCTTGTCTCAGACGATCCCGCAGGTGAAGAAGCCGGATGTGGAGGTCCTGGGCTGGCCTGGTTACACGTGGTACGCTGTTGTAGTTCTCGTATCTCTCACACACCATTTCCTCCTTTGTGTGTGTGTGTAGTCTTCGGCAGATGGAGCAGGGGGGCATTGACTTACAAAAGGCTGAGGAGGAGACCAAGGCCCAAATCTCAGCAGTCAACTCCCAGAAGGTGGCCATCGTGGCTGAGTTCATGGCCCACATGAAGGTACACAGTCACAGGGGTTGATGCTGAAGGCTCCAGATACACAGAACCTGGGTGGTGTATATGGTGTATACTGACTGCCTTAAGTCTCTATCATTCTCTCTCTTTTCCCTCCGTCTCTAGCTGAGGGCTAAGTTGAGTATGGAGAAGGTGTACATGGCTCTAGAGACCGTGGGCATGACAGCAGAGAAGACCAAGCTGGAGACTGACTGCAGGGACGGCTCGGCCGAACTCAGGGTCCTAGAGGTCAGGAGGTCACGCTCGCACGCACACTCTCATACAATTTCACACACAGTAAATTGTAATCTGTACTCATCGTGTGCGCGCGGATTGCGTTTCCTCTTCATCCCCTCTTCTCCTCTCTCAGCAAGCGTGTGCCATGCTGGAGCAGCGTAAGGCCCGTCTGTTGGAGATGTGTAAGGGCCTGATGAGGAGGGCCAGGGAGATCTGTAACATGGACCCTGGGGAGAGTGCTGTACCCCCAGACCTACACACGGTCAGTATAGTACAGCACAACTCAACACTGAGTCGTCCATTCATTCTACAATTTTAGTGCATTAATTAATCCATTCATTAATTTGTGTTTTTCTTCATTTGTGTTCTGTAGGCCTTCAGCCAACTGCCCGACACTATGGATGAGATAGACGCCATGTTGAATGAGGAGAGGTCCAGGGCAGAGTGCTTCACTGGCCTCAGTGAGAATGTAAGTTGGAAGGCTCCTCAAAACGTGTGCGTGCACGTATTGATTCTGCCTCACCATGTGACAACCACCCTCTTCCCCAGGTGGTGGATGAGTACAACAGGAGAGAGCAGGAGATCAAGAACCTGGAGAAAGAGCTGGATGAGAAGAGCAATGCCCTGAACACCTACAGACAGAACATATCAGAGGTACTTTAATTACGGATTAGTCCAGTGAATCAGTCTGTGCCAAATCTGTCATTTCAATGCTTTAAAAAAATGGTGCAAAATGTACTTCTGAAAATGCACAGTAAATCTATCAAATCTGTTTGCTAGTGCGCCAAAGTGCATGTTCAAATTCATTAAGCCGATTTTTTTTTTTTTTTTTTTTTTTTTTTTTTTTTTTTTTTTTTATTGCAAAATGTTTCTTAAAGGGAAGCAAATGGAACGAAGCGGGGAAGGACCTGAATTTATCCAATAGAAACTCCTGTTTTAAACCTTTCAGTTTTTGCAATTGTTTGGACTAATGATTACACCCCAAGTTTGTCTTCTACAGAGATGTTTCCCTCCTAAAGACTTCTCTCTGTTGACAGGCAAAGGAGCGCTGGCTGAATCCTCTGAAGCAACTGGTAGAGCAGATCAATGACAAGTTCAGTGATTTCTTCCGCTCCATGCAGTGTGCCGGGGAGGTGGACCTGCATTCAGAGAACGAGGTTGGGCACGCCAAACACACACCGTGCACATGCATTGTACCCTCTATCTCTGGACTAAGGGGTGCCAGAGTGTTCGTCTTCTTAGATGTTTGTGGGAGCTGTAGTAGCAGTCATAGAGGGTTGTCACCATACCATTATTGCGATACTCCGAGGTTTCGTGGCAAAGGAACAACATGAAATGGATTGAATTTCCTGAGGAAAACAGTCCTAATGTTGGAAACAAACAGCCTTATGTTGTCACCCAGAATCACTTTTCTTTTCCAAGCTATAGCACACAATATTTTACATTAGTATTTTTTTTTGAAGGACCAAAGAGTTTAGTCTGCTTTGTTTTCCATTTTGCCAAGGAAAATCTGGTATTGTGACAACACTAAAAGTAGGTCTGTCTGTGACTGGTGTCTGCCCCCTGCAGGAGGAGTATGATAAATACGGGATCCGTATCCGGGTGAAGTTCCGTAGCAGCACGCAGCTCCATGAGCTCACAGCACACCACCAGAGTGGAGGGGAGCGCAGTGTCTCCACAATGCTCTACCTCATGGCCCTGCAAGAGCTCAACCGCTGCCCCTTCCGAGTGGTGGACGAGATCAACCAGGTATGTAACACACACCAACTGCTGCCCGCTTAAGAGTGGTAAAATCACTTGCACATCCAGACTGTATTCACACAGGCTTTATTTCTTCCTATTCTACCCAGGGTATGGACCCAGTCAATGAGAGGAGAGTCTTTGACATTGTTGTACGGACAGCCTGCAAGGAGACGACCTCGCAGTACTTCTTCATCACACCCAAGGTAAGTGTCACACTGCAGAGGTGGTGACTTACTAGTGTGTGTGTTGTGGATTAATGTGTGTGTTTCTCCAGCTCCTTCAGAACCTCCAGTATGCAGATGAGATGACCATCCTGTGTGTCCATAATGGACCTCATATGCTGCCCCCCGACAAGTGGGATGAGAAGGCCTTCACCAGACGCTGCGTCCGCCGCAAGGGCAAATAGTGAAATTACCAGTTAATGATTTTCTGAGCTCTCGTCATTTTTGGTTTGACAGAAAATATGTGTAGACCCAATCATTGAACCCTCTACACATTTGCACAAATTATTTTGGGTTTTTATATACTGTTCAAATACATAGATATTTTGTATATACTGTTCAAAATGCACTGTTCAAATAAATGTTTTCTTTGAGATTGGTATGACTCCAAGAAAAGTTAAATGTCAATTGTAAAGATGCAAGTGATGTTCTATTATGGGTTGAGCAAATTAATAATGGGTTATCTTTTTAAAATGTTTGATGTGAAGTAGTCAGCAGGGCAAGAGATACTTTCAAAAATATGTTAGCTAATGGTCTTTGCCTAGTTCCAAGGACATCATCAGTGTGAAATCAACAAGCTTTCCCCCCTCCCATTCTATCAATGGACCTTTGATCAAATTGGATACCTTTGATTGTCTAAAGACCACTGAGCGAAAATGTAATTTGTTGCCCTCATCACCACAAGAGAAATGTGATCACATAATGGTGCAAAAGAGCTGGCAACTTCCTATGCAAATAGACCAAGGTGTAACAGAGTACCATCAATTTGTTTAACCCTCATCTTTAATATTGTCATGTTTCTGTGCTTTTTCTTTTGTCCAACATTTCAAAATAATAATCAATGACAGTGAAATATGCAGACAACACTTTTTTTTTTTTATGCTACCCAAGATTACTTTATTTTATTATTACTGGCGTTCTAGTAAGATATTGTGCAAAGTAAACAAGTTGTAAGTGACAATTTACTCATGTGTGTTGTTGGGGCACCATGTCCAAACCTACGAATTATGACGGATGACAGGTGTTTGGGGTGTTGACTACTCAAGTTCACTGATTTCCAAAACATCCGCAAGAATTATTCAAAATGGTTACATTGTAGCTAACACTTCTCGTATGTGTTACATACTGATTACATATCAGCGACGACCGGAAGTAGGCGCCCCATACCCTGCTGTCTTCCAATCAGAGGGTTGCTATTTTCCATGACGTATGGTACCACTCGTACTAAAGAAGGCACACAAAAAAAAAAGCGGAAAACAGTCAATAGCTACGCTAGGGGGCTTAAATTCAGACGGAGCCCTTGGTATCGCAGAAAGGGGAACGGAGAGTCTGCCAGGACTTTTGGTACAGCGAACGACCCACTAACGTTATAGAGCAAAAACATTAGTTCTAAAGGTAAGTTAAGTGAAATGCCTTTAAAAAATATTTGCCAGCCAACTAGCTTGCGCGTTATGTAAAGCAAAGTATTGTTGATTGACGAACGTTGCTGGCTGTTAAGAGTGTCTGAAGGAGAGGGTATCGATAACGGTAGCTAACGAGCTAGTTTTACACTAATTTAAAATATTTTCTAACGTTAACTAGCTATACAGGTCCGTCAAAGCAAATTTAACCCAGTTTCATTACTTTTCGATTAAACGATGCGGGTAAACGGCTAGCTAGTTAAAGACAGCCAATTTACTTTTTTTTCCCCAATAAATGAGTGGCTAAGTTACTCTAGCTAACGTTAGATAGCTGTTTATTTGGGGGGGTCAAAACAATTTATTTTTTTAAAATAAAGAAGCCTTAACTTAACTTCGGAAAACAATTGTTAGCTAGATGGCCTTATCGTCAAAAAGAAAAGGCTTCTCATGAGCCAGCGGTGACTAGTTAGCCACCTGATCTAAAACGGCAACCATCTGATTTCGTATGCATCGTAGATGATAGTTTGCTAAGCTAGCTTGAGTGTGATGTGGGTCAACTCGAGGCAACCTGCTCAACCTTCGAATATTTTACATGGTTAACGTACTTAAGTCTGTTCAAATTGACATCCGTTTTATTTGACGATAACTACAGATGCATAGATTATTTGATTAACTACATTTGTTCATGTTGAATTGTCAAAATAGGAAGATCTGACCGGAACAAAAGGGAAAGACAAAGCGCTAACCTAAGCTAACGTTATCATCTTGACTTGGAAGAACCACATTTCACTAGATATCTCGCTGGATCATATTAATAATTACTGCTGTATGATTATTTCATTTGTAGTTAGCTGAACAGATATCACGACGTTGTTTGCTAGTACAGTGACGTTAGGCTAACTAACTTAGCTAGATGTCGGAATTACGATCTTCACTAGCTACGTAGCCCAGCGTGACTCAGTGGTTTAAAGAGCAGTCGAGCGGAGGCCTCTAGCTCTGCTGGCACTGCACGGTCTGACTCAGCCAGAACTGTTGTCCCAGCTAGCTTGCCAGTCTGTTTGGGGGATGTATTAAATGGATACTGTCTGTATCGAACATTATCAGTTTAACGAGGGGCTCATATCAGTATGGCAGACCGCACATATTTAATTATTTTGATATAAGAGTTGGCTTATAAATGTAGCTACCTAGCAACACATGGGTTATTATATCTATAACGCAAAGCCGCCTCTCTTATCAATACAATTAAAGGCGTGTGTGGTATTGCAGCTTGTATGTAAATGTAAACATTGCAACATTAACATATCTCAGTCAAACCGTGAGCGCCTCCACACGTTCCTGTAGCAATAAACGAACGCACCCGTCTTACTGTGAGCAGGCACTAAGGTTTGGTGACGTAACCAAACCTTAGTGGGGCTTCCAGGGTTGCCTATAAATAGCGTAGCGAGGTCGTGTGAGTGCGCCTTTGAGATCAGCCTGTCACATTGCACCCTTGTGACAGGCGAAAGCTAATACCCCGTCCATGCGAGTATGGGACAGCAAAGAGCACTGCAGTCAGCAGGCATACACGTGATGGGGCGACAAAGTGCCTTTCTGGGGGAAACCTCAGCATTTCGCTAGAAAGCGTGGCATGGACTTCCCCCTGCATTGGGGCCCCTCGGTTCCTAGAAGACTGATACAAGTGCCTCAACACTTGCTTTTCATGTTCTTCCATGAACAGACTGGTGGGCTACGGTTAGGCTAATGGAAACTGGCTGCTTAATTTTGGGGTATTTGTCAACCTGCCTTATAAGACTGTCATACTGTACCACTATTCCAGTTGTTTGTCCCTTTTCTTGTGAAATTGGGTAGCTGATCAGAACGCTCTGGGTTAGGGAAAGGCTCACACACCACTCTGTATAGCTCTGGATGTGATAGTGAGTGATGCAACCAGAAGGACTGGTTGCTTCTTGCCAATGATTGAAGACTGTTTGCACATCCCACCATCTGTTTAAAGACTCCTGTCTTGTCTGTTGACCTTGTGTTGACGATAACCATGCAGGCAGCCACACATTTACTGTGATGAGCTCACTGGTGGTGCTATCCAGGTTTAAACTCTAACTAGGCCTAAACCCCAACTGATAAGCATAGTGCTGAAAGAGTGGCTGACTAACAGATGGCGATGAAGTTGAGAGAAAAAATGCCTGCAGACAGCGAGGCTATTGAACCCCTGAGATGATAAAATCTCAGCTTTAGAGAACTTAAAATGCATCTCAAAATAAACCCCCTCTGACCCTGTGATGTAAGGAGTAAGCGAGTTCACTTGAGTTGAACCCATAGATAGAGGACTCTAGTGCCCAAAAGCCTGTTTTTAGCATGGGCAGCGCCATTGAGGACTTTCACAATTTTTAAATAGTCAACTGAGTGGGACTTCCTATGGGTTATGGAGGGATCACATAATTCCATCCAGGTCACCAGGAAGGAAGTGACACTGAATTATACTTGTGAGGAAACATTCCATAACTGCAGATGTCAGTATATCACCAACCTTGACTTTATATAAGGGTTGGGCGATACTACGATGTTTGACAACCATCGTTTGACGACAACATCGTGATGTGACAGACGCTAGTTTGGTTTTTAACGGACGCTAGTTTAGCTTGTTTTAACATAACTGGCAGCGCACAACAGGGCACAGCCAGGCAACATGCCAAATTACCTACCTATTCTTATTTGCCATAGCCTATTTTAATAAATGTGGTAGGTAGACTTAGCCTACTATTAACATAATGTAAGAGTACAATGTAGATGAAGCAGATGGCGCCAAAAGGTAGAGAAATGAACATTCAATTATCTGGCAACACCTCTGGTGGATATTCCTGCAGTCAGCATTCCAATTGCACGCTCCCTCAACTTGAGACATCTGTGGCATTGTGTTGTGACAAAACTGCACATTTTAGAGCGCCCTTTTATTGTCCCCAGCAAAAGGTGCACCTGTGTAATGATCGTTCTGTTTTATCAGCTTCTTGATATGCCACACCTGTCAGGTGGATGGATTATCGTGGTCCTCTGTAGCTCAGCTGGTAGAGCACGGCGCTTGTAACGCCAAGGTAGTGGGTTCGATCCCCGGGACCACCCATACACAAAAATGTATGCACGCATGACTGTAAGTCGCTTTGGATAAAAGCGTCTGCTAAATGGCTTATTATTATTATTATTATTATTATTATTATCTTGGCAAAGGAGAAATGCTCACTAACAGGGATGGAAACAAATTTGTGCACATAATTTGAGAGGAATAAGGTTTTTGTGCTTATGGAAAATGTCTGGAATTTTTTTTTTCAGCTTCTGAAACATGGGACCAACACTTTACATGTTGTTTTATATTTTTGTTCAGTGTGTATCTATCTATCTTGAACTTTCTTGTATCTCCTAGATGTAAGATAAACACTTCAAAACCTTGTTTCTTATGATTTTGTTTTTTGCCATTTATGAATGTGTTATTCAATGCATTTCTCTGGGCTATAGGGGTAGGCCAAATTCTAATATATATATATGGTGTCACAACACAACTCATTGGCTCAAACGCATTAAGAAGGAAAGAAATTCAATTTTCAAGACCTCTGCAATCCGCCCTGGCATGCTGTCAATTAACTTCTGGGCCACATCCTGATTGATGGCAGCACATTCTTGCATAATCAATGCTTGGAGTTTGTCAGGACTTTTTGAGGATCTGAGGACCCATGCCAAATCTTTTCAGTTTCCTGGGGGGGAATAAACTTTGTCGTGCCGTCTTCACAACTGTCTTGGTGTGTTTGGACCATGATAGTTCATTGGTGATGTGGACACCAAGGAACTTGAAGCTCTCAACCTGTTCCACTACAGCCCTGTCGATGAGAATGGGGGCGTGCTCAATCCTCTTTTTTCTTTCTGTAGTCCACAATCATCTCCTTTGTCTTGGTCACGTTGAGGGAGAGGTTGTTATCCTGGCACCACACGGCCAGATCTCTGACCTCCTCCCTATAGGCTGTCTCATCGTTGTCGGTGATCAGGCCTACCACTGTTGTGTTGTCAGTAAACTTAATGATGGTGTTGGAGTCGTGCCTGGCCATGCAGTCATGGGTGAACAGGGAGTACAGGAGGGGACTGAGCACGCATCCCTGAGGGGGCCCCCGTGTTGAGGATCAGCGTGGCAGATGTGTTGTTACCTACCCATACCACCTCGGGGCCTCCTGTCAGGAAGTCCAGGATCCAGTCGCAGAGGGAGGTGTTTAGTCCCAGGATCCTTAGCTTAGTGATGAGCTTTGAGGGCACTATGGTGTTGAACGCTGAGCTGTAGTTAATGAATAGCTTCCTCACGTAGGTGTTCCTCTTGTCCAGGTGGGAAAGGGCAGTGTGGAGTGCAATAGAGATTGCATCATCTGTGGATCTGTTAGGCCGGTATGCAAATTGGAGTGGGTCTAGGGTTTCTGGGATAATGGTGTTGATGTGAGCCATGACCAGCCTTTCAAAGCACTTCATGGCTACAGATGTCAGTGCTACGGTCGGTAGTCATTTAGGCAGGTTATCTTGGTGTCCTTGGGCATGGGGACTATGGTGGTCTGCTTGAAACATGTTGGTATTACAGACTCAGTCAGGGACATGTTGAAAATGTCAGTGAAGACACTTGCCAGTTGGTCAGCACATGCTCGGAGTACACGTTCTGATAATCCGTCTGGCCCTGTGGCCTTGTGAATGTTGACCTGCTTAAAAATCTTACTCACATCGGCTACGGAGAGCGTGATCACAGTCATCCGGAACAGCTGGTGCTCTCATGCATGCTTCTGTGTTGCTTGCCTCGACGTGAGCATAGAAGTGGTTTAGCTCGTCTGGTAGGCTTGTCACTGGGCAGCTCGCGGCTGTGCTTCCCTTTTGTAGTCTGTAATAGTTCTCAAGCCCTGCCACATCCGACGAGCGTCAGAGCCGGTGTAGTACGATTTCAATCTTAGTCCTGTATTGACTCTTTGCCTGTTTGATGGTTCGTCTGAGGGCATAGCGGGATTTCTTATAAGCATCCGGGTTAGAGTCCCGCTCCTTGAAAGTGGCAGCTCTACCCTTTAGCTCAGTGTGGATGTTGCCTGTAATCCATGGCTTCTGGTTGGGGTGTGTACGTACGGTCACTGAGGGGACGACGTCATCGATGCACTTATTGATGAAGCCAATGACTGATGTGGTGTACCCCAGTCCTCAGCAGTCCAATCCCTATACCTTTTGCAGAATATCAGTCTGTCCCTGATGTTTTTCCTGGAGAGAAGTGGCACCAGGCCATCCTCCAAAAGTCTTCGCCTCACTGTGCGTGCAGATGCACTCACACCTGCCTGCTGCCATTCCTGAGCAAGCTCTGCACTGGTGGTGCCCCGATCCCGCAGCTGAATCAACTTTAGGAGACGGTCCTTGCGCTTGCTGGACTTTCTTGGGTGCCCTGACGTGCCCTTCTTCACAACAATTGAACCTCTCCTTGAAGTTCTTGATGATCCAATAAAAGGTTGATGGGACGATTTGTCATTCCAGACATCGCCCAACCCTACTTTATACCTGTTCAAACAAGACTAGGTGGCAGTGTGCATGCACCCTTTCAGATTGTTTGCCAACATAGAAGTAGTACAAGTAAATTGACTACTTCAAAATGAAGATGACCTCCCTGGCGCTGCCCGAGCACTCAGACGCCGTAATGGGACAATGGTGGGACATCTATGGTTGAACCTGAATGAAGTGGCAGTGATTTTTGAATGGCGGCAAGCAGCTCAAGGCTGCAGCGACTCCAGGACTGCCCAGTGAGATTAAACTGCCATGTCCTGAGAATGCTGGAATAGTCATGTTGCTTCTTAGGTTGGGGGTTCAGTATCTTCTATTGGCAGGGGTCGCATTAGCTTTCAGAAATCTGCATTTTCAAAACTCTGACCAGCAAAAAAAGCATTTTTGTTCTTTTTCTTAAACCATTTGACCGGCATCTTTATATTGAAAGTCGTGTTTAAAAAAAAAAATTTATTCCCACTTTCTAATGAGTCTCTGTTTTGATTATGTCCAGGACAATTCAATCAGCAGAGATGGCACAGGAGACCAATCAGAGCCAAGCGCCCATGCTTTGTGCCACCGGCTGTGGTTTCTTTGGAAACCCCAGGACCAGTGGCATGTGCTCGGTCTGCTATAAGGACCACTTGACCAGACAGAACAATGGAGTGAGCCCCCTGAGTGCAATGGGTAAGATCTGCCATTCCTCCATAATTGTTTTTGTTAATCTTTATGTTTGAGAAGCAGATGCCTTATAACTCCATGTTTTTGCAGTCAGTGCATTTTCTCCTAGTAAATCTGATCATGTATTGTCTCATTTAGGTGGCAGTGTGTCCAGTAGCCCCACAATGGAGGCCTCGACCATCCAGAGAATTGAGGCTTCCTTAAATAATGCTGCTGCTGAAGCTGATACCGAAGCTGCCAGGTGAGTGTCTGTTGTTACTCTGAAATGACCATGGAAACCATTCTTTAAGACCAAGTCACACCAAATTACTCCTCTCGCACCACGTTTGTTATATCATTACATCTGAATGAGATGGCTAGTATGAAGTGGAGGATTTGGACTAAAGATTTGTAGCCTACAGCACCTGTTCTCATTCTCTCCCTTTCTCTCACTGTAGTGGGGCAGTAGCTCTTCCTGTTACCCAACAGATGACCGAGATGAGCATTTCCTGTGAGGAGGAAGGAGCGTCGCCTAAAGCAGAACCTGGTGCGTGTCCGATTCATATGGGTGTTCAGTGCCACACGGTGGGGTGGGGGGTCACGTGAGTGGTTACAGGCCTGTGATGGGAAGTGGTTGTGAATAGTCTCTGGGCTCAGTGTTGTTGTTTTGAGGTCTTATTTTTTATTTTTCTGGTCTTTCCAGTGGTCACTCAGCCCACCGCCTCAGCTTCACCTCCCAGTGCTGCTGGCATTGACGAATCCAAATCACCCGAACCTGCCAAACTGAAGAAGAACAGGTGCTTCATGTGCCGCAAGAAGGTTGGCCTTACAGGTGAGGACAAACATTCCAGGACTGCTCAACATTGCTGCTTATTCAGTCAGACCTCAGTCAAGAAGGCTGTGGCTTATCATGTGCCTTTCTATGATTGAGTATATGATACACTGTGCAGAGGTGATATGAGCTGGGTCTATTAGTGTGACTCACTGTGCCTTTTTTGCTCCGTCAGGTTTTGACTGTCGCTGTGGGAACCTGTTCTGTGGACTCCACCGTTATTCAGACAAGCACAACTGCCCGTATGACTACAAAGCCGACGCCGCCGCCAAGATCCGCAAGGAGAACCCTGTGGTGGTGGCCGACAAGATCCAGAGAATATAAGACCTCCTCTCACTTTGACCTTGAACACTTGGAGTGATTGGCAAAAAAAAAAAGGACTCACGCTTGGCCTGCGTTCAAAAGGACTAGTTTTTTTTGTTTTTGTTTTTTTTAACAGTATGGGGGAGTCCAGTTGTCTGCAATGCATGAACGATCACATTTTTCTTCTGTTTTCTGTCTGAGCTTACGATTTAGGAAGAGGAAAAAATAAAAAATAACAAAAAGAATGTCTAAAAAATACAGCAGACAGGACACTCTTTTTTCCAGGGACGCCTGGACCTGGCTTAATTCTTAGTGTTTTTGGGAATCTGATTGTTGTCAAGTAGGCGGTCTGATGTGTTGTGATTGTCATGAGTTTACTACTTTGACTCTCTGTATTTATGAGATTTTGCGGAGTAGAGCGGGGACGCTGTAGCCTATGGGACTGTGAGACTGTTACAGCCCCGACCGGATCAGTCCGTTTTTTTTATATGTACTACCAGACATGTTTGTTTCTGTGCTCTATGGGGCCTCAATTCAGGGGAGACCCCCCCAAGCACATTTCTCTATTGTGAGATCAGATGTGAAGAAGTGACTTTAAAAAAAAAAGACTTCATTTGTTAATCACCTAAAGAACAACCTGTTCAAGAAGCTTATGAAATGATCATCCAGTATGAATGGTGAAAGCAGCCAGACCCTTAGCCCTGACACTTGGAGGATGGATGGATATGTTCTGTTCCAACCCTATAGGCTCTCATCTGAATCAAACAGAATATCAGTGTAGTCATCAAAGCCTGCTCCACTGGTTCGTTCTTCCTGCAATGTGTGCTGCACTAAAAACCATTGCTTAGGTTTACTTGTATTCGTTAAAGATGGTTTTCTAAAGAAGTATTTAGGTCTGATGCTGTGATGTAATGTGTATTTGAAGGGGAAACTTGGGGCTGCCTCTGGCTGGCTGGATGGGAGACTGGCGGAAGACCGCTCACTTCCTGCAATTGAGATCCAGGTCATAGGACTTCACTCATCCAGCCACTCGGGTCATGTGACAGTGATGCCCATTCTGTGCTCTTTTTTTTTTTTTTTCTCGTATCTGTTTTCCTGAGGATATGGGGTGTTTTGCTTGGGTTGTTGTATCAATGACAAATAGCCTAAATTAACTAGATTGCTGAGGTTGGAAGGGTTAGGTCCACTAATCTTTTGATCAATATTTCCCTCTTTTTTTTTTATTTTTTATGTATATGTGCTGATCTATTTCAGAATTTTATTGTGGAGTGCGTATCACATGCTATGTATTAAACACAAGTGTCTGATGTATGCCATTTTCCAGGATGGCTGAATGGATGGTGGCTGAGTATTGTGTATGTATGCAAGTGCTTGTGTTCCTCAGTAGTCAGAACTGATCCAGTGGACTCACTCTTGGTGATCTAGATTTTTTTTGTTTATTTGGTCTGGCTGCTCAGCGCTGGTCTCTCGGTAGGGCTGTGAGATTTCACCTTTTCATTTGAACCCTTTTTAGTTATGCAAGTTTGTACAAACCATCTTTATATTTATGTACCGCACATATAATCTTGTTACCCAACATTACAGCAAAATTGTACCATGTAAATAAAATTATGTACAGAGCTATAGAATCATGTACTCCGTGGCAATTTATTTAACTCATATCGTGGATCGAGAGTTACCTGTCTCACAGAACATAGGGTGTTCTTTTAACTTCCTGTTGAATGAGGGAGGGCATGGTTTGTTTTGAAAGTCTTAACTGTTCTACTGAAAAAGTTTGGTTACTAGCTCGCTACCTTTTTTGGGGGGGGGGGATCCTGCGATGCGGTTGTCGTCAGCAGCGGTCCCAGCAACTATCTGTCCAGGAATCCTGCCGACCAAGGGTCTGAGGAGCTGCTTGGTGTAGCAGCTAGCCTAGCTGCTATCAAGCTAGTGGGGTTTTCTTGAGGGCTTGAACGCAGCCTGCGACACGGTTATCCCTTGTGGCTGTGACCGCGGATTGTCCCGGGCTTGTGGCTGTCTAGATCCCTGCTGTTTCAATCTTCCCTGCGACCTGCCCTGTCTGGAACTACGAGGGGTAACCGTGTAGCCTGCGTTGCTACCATGACAAAGACAAAAGCCAGTGGGAGGACCGTGGTGCCTATCTATCACTGGTGAATGATCTTTTAAACCTACAAAAATAGTTCTACAAGCAGTTGTTACAACAAGAAAATGGCTTCAAGTGTTGTCCAAATACTGGTGGAGTCAACTAATTAAAGAATGAACGGAGGGGTCCAGGACCTGAAGAACAGTTTACAGTTCTCCAAGGGTCAGCTCGATGAGTTTAAACAAAACTGCAAGATGACAGCAATCTGTAAATCATTGAGAGAGGACAGGATATGAGTTCTGGATGTGAATCCATGATTACAATGACTGAGAAATCAGATTATCTCGATGGACAATCAAGGTGGAACAACATTGTTGGGGAAGGAATTGCAGAATCGCCACATTAGCCATTTCTGAGATTCACTTAGATAATTCCTTTGTAGCAATACAAGGATATAACATATATAGAAGATACAGGAATGCTTATGGGAGAGGTGTTGGTGTATATATTCAGAGCCATATCCCTGTAATGCTTAGAGAAGATCTCATGTCAAGTGTTATTGAAGTGTTGTGGTTGCAGGTTCACTTGCCTCATCTAAAGCCTATTATTTTGGGGTCTTGCTATAGACCACAAAGTGCTAATAGTATCTAAATAATGTGTGTGAAATGCTTGATAGTGTATGTGATGTAAACAGAGAGGTCTACTTTCTTGGGGACCTGAATATTGACAGGTTTTCATCAAGCTGTCTGCTCAAGAGGAAGCTTCTCACTGTAACCAGTGACTGTAATCTGATTCAGGTTATTAATCAACCTACCAGGGTGTGTACAAACACTACAGGAACAAGATCATCCACATGTATTGATCACATTTTTACTAATACTGTAGAACTTTGTTCTAAAGCTGTATCCGTACCCATTGGCTGCAGTGATCACAATATAGTGGCTATATCCAGGAAAGCCAAAGTTCCAAAAGATGAGCCTAAAATAGTGTGTACGAGATCATACAAAATATTTTGCTGTGAGTCTTATGTGGATGATGTTCCAAATATTTGTTGGTCTGATGTGATTAATAAGGAACATCCAGACGCTGCACTTGATGAATTTATGAAATTGCTTCTTCCAATTACTGATAAACATGCACCTGTTAAGAAACTGACTGTTAGAATTGTTAAGGCTCCATGGATTGATAAGCAATTGAAAAACTGTATGGTTGAAAGAGATGGGGCAAAAGGAGTGGCTAATAAGTCTGGCTGCACATCTGACTGGCTGACTTACTGCAAATTGAGAAATTATGTGACTAAACTCAACAAAAAGAAGAAGAAACTGTATTATGAAGCCAAGATCAATGATATAAAGAATAATGGGATTTTTTTTGCAGTACTTTAAATGAAATTATGGGCAGAAAGACAAATTCAACTCCATCTTTCATTGAATCAGATGGCTTATTCATCACAAAACCATTTGATGTTGCCAATTATTTTAATGATTACTTCATTGGCAATGTGGGCAAACTTGTTGAGTTTCATAATGCCAACAACGAACAGTGAGCCATCGTATTCATGCATAAATAAACAAGTAATGAAAGAAAAGCATTGTAAGTTAGTGTGGGAAAGGTGGAAAAATTGTTATCGCTAAATAATGACAAACCTCCTGGCATTGACAACTTAGATAATAATATGCCATTTAGCAGACGCTTTCATCCAAAGCGATTTACAGTCATGCATGCATACATTTTTGTGTGGTCCCAGGGATCGAACCCACTACCTTGGCGTTACAAGCACCATGCTCTACCAGCTGAGCTACAGAGGACCACTGGATGGAAAGCTACCAAGGATGGTAGCTGACTCTTTAGCCACTCCTATCTGTCATTCTTTAATCTGAGCCTAGAGGAAAGTGTTTGTCCTCAGGCCCGGAGGGAAGTTATTCATTCCGCTACCCAAGAGTGGTAAAGCTGCCTTTATTGGTTCTAACAGCAGACCTATCAGCTTGCTGCCAGCTCTTAGCAAACTGTTGGAAAAAATTGTGTTTAACCAAATACAATGCTATTTCTCTGTAAACAAATTATCAACAGACTTTCAGCATGCTTATAGAGAAGGGCACTCAACATGTACGGCACTGACACAATTGACTGATGATTGATTGAAAGAAATTGATAAGAAGATTTCAGTGCAACTTTTGATATTATTGACCACAACCTGTTGTTGAGAAAATGTATGTGTAATGGCTTTTCAACCTCTGCCATATCGTGGATTCAGAGCTATCTATATAATAGAACTGAGGGTTTTCTTTAATGGAAGCTTCTCTAATGTCAAACATGTAAAGTGTGGTGTACCGCAGGGCAGCCCTCCAGGCCCTCTACTCTTTTCTATTTTTACCAATGACCTGCCACTGGTATTAAACAAAGCATGTGGTCCATGTATGCTGAGGATTCAACCATCTACATGTCAGCAACCATAGCTAATGAAGTCACTGAAACCTGTAACAGAGAGTTACAGTCAGTTTTGGAATGGGTGGCCAGTAATGAACTGGTCCTGAACATATCTAAAACTAAGAGCATTGTATTTGGTACAAATCATTCCCTAAGTTCTAGACCTGAATCTGGTAATGAATGGTTGAACAAGTTGACGAGACTAAATTACTTGGTGTTACCTTAGATTGTAAACTGTCATGGTCAAAACATATACAGTGGGGAAAAAAAGTATTTAGTCAGCCACCAATTGTGCAAGTTCTCCCACTTAAAAAGATGAGAGAGGCCTGTAATTTTCATCATAGGTACACGTCAACTATGACAGACAAAATGAGAAAAAAAAATCCAGACAATCACATTGTAGGATTTTTAATGAATTTATTTGCAAATTATGGTGGAAAATAAGTATTTGGTCAATAACAAAAGTTTCTCAATACTTTGTTATATACCCTTTGTTGGCAATGACACAGGT